TTTGAAGTGTATTTTGTCTGATACAAGTACTGCAGCTCCTGTTTTTTTCTCCCTATTGCATGAAATATCTTTTTCCATCCCTTCACTTTTTGTCTGTGTATGTCTTTGGGTTTAAAGTGTGTCTCTTGTAGGCAGCATATAGATGGGTCTTTATCCATTCAGTGACTCTATGTCTTTTGATTGGTGCATTCAGACCATTTACTTTTAGGATGATTATCGATAAGTATGTGATTATCGCTATGGCAGCCTTTAGATTCATGGTTACCAAACATTCAAGGTTAACTTCCTTACTATCTAAGAGTCTAACTTCAGTCATTTAGTATGCTATTACAAACACAATCAAAAGAATCTTTTTTTTCTTCTCCTTTTTCTTCCTCCTCTATTCTTTATATATTAGGTAGCATATTCTGTACTCTTTGTCTATCCCTTGATTGACTTTGGGGATAGTTAATTTAATTTTGCCTTTGCTTAGTAATTAACTCTTCTCCTTTCTTTATTGTGGTTTTATTACCTCTGGTGACACTATTTAACCTAAGGAAAACTTCCATCTAAAACAGTCCCTCCAAAATACAGTGTAGAGACAGTTTGTGGGAGGTAAATTCTCTCAGCTTTTGCTTATCTGAAAATTATTTAATCCCTCCTTCAAATGTAAAAGATAATCTTGCTGGATAAAGTATTCTTGGTTTGAGGCCCTTCTGCTTCATTGCATTAAATGTATCATGCCACTCCTTTCTGGCCTGTAAGGTTTCTCTTGAGAAGTCTGATGATAGCCTGATGGGCTTCCCTTTGTATGTGATCTTATTTCTCTCTCTGGCTGCTTTTAATAGTCTGTCTTTATCCTTGATCTTTGCCATTTTAATTATTATATGTCTTGGTGTTGTGTTCCTTGGGTCCCTTGTGTTGGGAGATCTGTGCACCTCCATGACCTGAGAAACTATCTTCTTCCCCAGATTGGGGAAGTTTTCAGCAATTACCTCCTCAAAGACACTTTCTATCCCTTTTTCTCTCTCTTCTTCTTCTGGTACCCCTATAATACGAATATTGTTCCATTTGGATTGGTCACACAGTTCTCTGAATATTCTTTAATTCTTAGAGATCCTTTTTTCTCTCTGTGCCTCAGCTTCTTTGTATTCCTCTTCTCTAATTTCTATTTCATTTATCGTCTCCTCCACTGTATCTAATCTGCTTTTAAAACCTTCCATTGTATGTTTAATTTCTGATACTGTGTTCCATAATGATTGGATCTCCTACTGGAATTCATTCCTGAGTCCTTGAATATTTTTCTGTACCTCCATGAGCATGTTTATGATTTTTATTTTGAAATCTTTTTCAGGAAGATTCATGAGGTTGATTTCATTTTACTCTTTGTCTGGTGTATTTATGATTTTGCTTTGAACCAGGTTCCTTTGATATTTCATATTTGTATGTTGTGCCCTCTGGTGCCCAGAAGCTCTACTGTCTGGAGATGCTAAGCCGCTGGAGCAATGTCAGGGGTTGCAGGGGGGCAGTATTGGTGCCTGGGGTGAGGAAAGAGCTGTTTCCTGCTTCCCGGCTGCCATGCCTCTCTCCACTGCCAGAACCAGTGGATCAAGCACACAGGTATAAGTCTATGCTTTGCATTTGTAGCTGCTGTAGGTGAGGCTTCCCTCTGGCTGACCTGATGCCAGGGCAGGGTTTGCCAGTTTGTGAGCCAGGTGCTGGCTGGTCCAGATGAAGGCACAGCAGGCTGTGTATCAAGGTGGGGGGGCGTTGGAGCTGCATAGCCAGCCAGGGGGCTGGAGCGCCTGAAGATCTTGAAATTTCCCAACCTACTGTGCAGAGTGCACCTGGGCAATTCTACCTGTCCTTTTCCCTGAGCAGTAAGCTCTGTGCAATCCTTGCCCCTTAGCAGCCCTCTTGCTTTCAGGAAGTCTCTCAGACTGCCCACCTTTCTTTTTTCCCAGAGCAGCCGAATATGGATCCCTGTTTTCCACAAGTGCTACTATCTCCGTCTCTCTAGGTATTCTGCCTGTCTTAGCTTCCCAACCCTCCCCCAATCACCAGAGCTCCATGCAATGTAGGTTTGTGCTCCCAGAGCAGATCTCCAGAGCTGGGTGTTCAGCAGTCCCAGGCCTCCACTCTTTCCCTGCTCCATTTCTCTTCCTCCCACCAGTGAGCTGGGGTGGGGGAAGGGCTTGGGTCCCACCGGGTTTCATACATTACCCTGTTCCATGAGGTCTGTTCTTTTCCTCCCCTTCCTTCCCATTGCTCTTTCAGGATTAGTTGTATTAATTATATTTTTGTATTACATGCGGTTTTAGGAGGAGGCCTCTGTCTCACCTCTCATGCTGCCATCTTTAATCCCACTACTGCTTTCATACTTTTTCTTGCTTTGAGTTAGGGTTATTTCTTTTCCCCTTAAAGAATACCCTTTAGCATTTCTTATAAGACTGGTTTAGTAGTGGAATTTCCATAACTTGTTTATTTGTGAAGCTACTTATCTCCCCTTCTACTCTGAATGATAGCCTTGCAGAGTAGAGCATCTTGGTTGGAGGTTTTTCTCCTTCAGTACTTTGAATATATCATGCGATTCCTTCTGGCCTATAGAGTTTCTGCTGAAAGATCAGCTGATGGCCTTATGGGGCTTCCCTTGTAGGTAACTCATTGCTTTTCTCTCACTGCTTTTAAGATTCTCTCTGCCTTTGATCTCTGACATTTTAATTATGGTATGTCTTGGCGTGGACCTCCTTGAGTTTATCTTACTTGTGGCTCTCTCTGCTTTCTGGACCTGGGCTTCTGTCTCCTTCCCTAGGTTAGGGAAGTTTTCAGCTATTATTTCTTCAGATAAATTTTCTATTTCTTTCTTTCTCTCTTCTCCTTCTGGGACTCCTGTAATGCAAATGTTTAGACACTTGATACTATCTCAGAACTCCCTTAACTTAGCCTCATTCCTTTTTATTCTTTTTCCTTTCTGCTGTCAACCTGAGTGCTAACCATTACTCTGTCTTCCAAATCACCCATCTCTTCCTCTACATCCTCTAGTATGTTGTTAATTCCTCCAGTGTATTTTTCATTTCATTTATTATATTTTTATCTCCAGTTGGGTTTGTTTCATATTTTCTATCTTTCTGTAGAGGTTCTAACTGAGTTCTTCCACTATCCTCTTAAGTCTGGTGAGAATCTTGATAATCATTAATTTGTACTTTTTATCTAGTAGATTACTTAACTTTCATGTAGTTCTTTTTCTGAAGTTTGTTTGACTTCCTGTGCTTGATTCTGTGAATTAGCAGAAAGGGCTATCTCTCCCAGTCTCAAAGGACTGGCCTGTGTAGGGAAGGCCCCCTGGGTAGACTGTGTGTACCTGGTGCAGTTTGGCTAGCTGGCTGGAGGCCTAGTGAGTGTGTGCTTGTGTGTTAGGGGCACTCTGGTGTCAGGGCTCTTGGGGTGTGATTGGAGGAGCAAGTAAGGGGAGGTGCCAGTTGGAGGGGTCCTGAGTGGATGCCAGAGGGTCCAGGCACAGCCTCCAGGAAAGCCCACCCCCACACTCCTGGCTCACAGCCCTGGGGCAGCCCCAGGCCCAGGTGCACTTTCCAGGGGCCTGCAGAGTTTGGCTCTGCACCCACAGGGCAGAAACAGCCCTAGTACACTCCCTGGCTGATATGTCTGAGTGTGGGCTGCCTAACCAAATCTGAACTTGGTGTGTGTGCCCCAGCTGCACCCCCCGAGTCACATCAATGTGGGAAGGAGTACAAACAACAGTGCTGGCCAGACCTCTGATCTGGAGAGAGTTCCAGCCATTCCGCCACCAAACAGCAGTGCTTAATTCTATGAATTGGGTTTTTTCACTTATAGTCTAGATGCACTTCAAAGCGAGGCTGTTCTTCTGTGTCCCAGGGAAGGGGACTGGCACCCAGGTCCCTCAGCAGCATCCCGCCCTCTGTGGGTCATCGCAGTGGGGTGCAACTCCCTCCGTTACCTTGTTTCCATCTCTCCTGCCATGTTTGTGCATCCCTTGTTGTGCAGGTGTTTGCCCAGTCCTCAGTTCTTTCTCAAGATGAATTACTCTGTGTGCAGGTGTAGATTTGATGTGAAGGTGAGAGGAGGTGGGTTCAAGCCCTCTCTGTGTGTTTCACCATCTTTCCACACGTCCTGTCTGTTTAATCTTAAGCAAACACATCACCTATCTTGTCCTCAGTTTCCTCAAAGAATAGACTTTCCTAGGATTTTAAGATTTTTCTTGCCTTAAAGATTGTGAATGCATTCAAGGATCCCGGAGAAAGGTTTCTGACAAGAGCATTTAAGATTTCAGCTGTTCATCACTGCTGTTATGATGGTCATGGTCCTTTCAAGGTTTCACTGGCTGTAACGTATAGAAATGCTTCTGATATTGAGGCTTAAGGCTATACGAGTGTTTCTGTTTGACATTTGAAACATTACACATTCTTTCTTGTATGTTTTTTTGATTATAACAATTAGAATTGTTTCTATATAGCCACTCTGGCTTCTTGCTTATTAAAAGGAGATAAAATCTTGAATTATAGGTAAAGTAAATAAGGTAAAATTAAAGTACATTACGAATGAAGACTTTTTAATTTTACTGAAAGGGTTCTTAAGTTACTCAAGACATGATAAGTATTACAGTTCCTGAAGTGAGTTATGGAACGAGTGGTTAGCTCCCCAAAATGCTTTTGTCAGACCATCCAATCACACCTTGACAGTGTGAGTCACTTATGTATAAGGATTATGCATTAGAGAGCCTTAACTTGTGGGGTTACTTGAGCATAGTCACTTGGATGAGACAACCCTTGTATTTTATTATGATATTGTTTCTTCAGAGAGAACAATAACTTCGTTTCTTCTGAGCAAAGAATCAGGTGTCCATCAGCATGTCGGCTGCACAGCTCAGTAGAGGCTGGGCTGGGGGATATTCCAGCATGTTTGAGAAAGGGAGCAGAGCCGGGAGCCGGCACCAGTCTAATCCCTGGGCTGCCAGTGGCTGACCCTGACCTCTGCTTTCCCAGGTCATCCACTGCAGCGGCTACTTGAAGATCAGGCAATATATGCTGGACATGTCCCTGTACGACTCATGCTACCAGATCGTGGGGCTGGTGGCCGTGGGCCAGTCGCTGCCGCCCAGTGCCATCACAGAGATCAAGCTGCACAGTAACATGTTCATGTTCAGGGCGAGCCTGGACCTGAAGCTGATATTCCTGGATTCCAGGTGAGTTTGGCCCACGCTGCTGCTGCTGCGGAGTTCTGGAAGATACAGATGGTGGGAACTGCGCCCCGCCCCCCGCCGCCAAGCTGCACCATTAGGCCAAAATGTAACAGAGAATAAACTGAACTGAGAATGTGAATTAGAAAGTGATTTAGTTGAAACCAAGTCATGAACTGAAAGAATTAATACCAGCCTCAGTACCTAGGGAGTAGCCTGCTTCTCCAGCTCATAGGTACTTGTGTCATTTTATTTACTTGTATTTATCACCTCACTGGAGCTTAAATTGCAAATGCGTGTGTTGTGGGCACAAGTTAGCCTTTCCCGGAGGCCCGGGATGTCAGGATTCCGCCTTGTATCTCCATCAAATTGGTTGGACTTTAAATTAAACAGGAGGTTCGTCACCATGCAGTGGGTTTCCAGCCCAGGTGGGCGCAGGACACTGCTGGACTGAGGCTGGGCAGAGTGGAAGTTTGCCCTGGGGCAAGGCCGTGGCCTTGTCTGCATCTGGGCTGGGAGCACACCTCCCCACACCTCCCACCGACGGGGGGGGCAGGAGCTGTGGCACCCCCAGGACTTCCTCTCCCAGCCATCCTCTCCCCTCCTGATTGGGAATGCCCACTGATCCGAGAACCTCTGATCAGCAAGAGAAGGGAGACTGAGGCAGCGGAAGCTCTGGTTTGTCATTCCGCGGGCCTGGGAAAGCCTGCTGGGAGGGGCGCTCTGCGCTGGGGCCCTCGCCCATCACCGCGGCAGACTGGGGGCCTCACGAGTGTGGAGGCCTCCCTTGGGCTTCCGTTTTCTTCTCTGGAAACTGACAGCTTCACCTCACCCACCCCACTACCTACAAGGTTGCCAGGAAGGATGAAATTGGATAATAGACGCGAAGCATTTGTAGAAGTAGAAAGCCTGGTGCAGCTGCAAGGTGAGTCGCTTCGCCTCTGGGTCCCTTAGAGTCCTTGGCCGAGGGTGAGAGTAAGTTCCGAGCCCCCACTCCTGACTTTGGGGTGTGTAGCTAAGCTTTCCAGGAGGAAGGAGATACTTTATATAGATATACATTTTTTTTCTTTTTTTCAGTATGTCCTGAAGCTAGGATTTGTTGATTCTTTTTTCCCACTTTTTTTTATTGCAGTAAAATATACATAACATGAATTGACCATTTTAACCATTTATGGAAGAAAAACAAACCTACCTGGTTAGGGGCGGGAGGTGAAGACACAAATTAGACTGGAGCATGGTTAATGCACTTCACAACCACTCAGAGGCAGAGGAGTGACAAGGGTGGGCGCTGCAGAGTTGCCGGATGGTCCCAGGAACTCCAAGCAAAGAGTGAACATGACCCTTTGGGGGAAGATGTCAAGTGCTGACAGCACTGGGCTCCTGCAGTGAAGGAGGTGGTGTGTAAGGGAAAGGAGCCCCTGGGGGTGCGGCTGCTGCCCCAAAGTGTGGGGTGTGCTAGAAATGCAGGAGGGGCTCTTTATAGATTCAAGAGCCCCTTATGCAAATGGGCTGAAAGAAAACGAGGCTGACAAAGTTCATTATTTTAGACATTTGGGAGGCTACAGCTGGTTTCTCCCTTGTGTTGTCTTCTAGTTTTTCTTTGACCATCCTAGGAATTCTCGGGGGCTTGGTGAATTCTCAGACAGGAAATGGGGGTCTCACCAGAGGAGAGATTTCAGGTTTTCTCAAGTAGTTCAACCCACTCAGCTTTGAAATGCAAGGGACACATGGAGGACTTACAGAAAAGGGTGTGTGAGGTCAGCTCAGAGGCCAGATTGCTCTCCTGAAGGGAGCTTCAGACGTGGGCTTTCTCAGATGCCAGTGTTCCTCTACACCAGGGTGGAAGGGCTGTAGGAAAGGGAGGTGAGCAGAAAAGAAAGGAGTCCATCTCGAGGGCCACCTCCCCTGTGGTTCTTCCTGCTAAAGACCAGGAAGCTTCTGGCAAAGCTTTGAGGCTTTTTCTGAACCCCAGTCATCCAAAAGGGGCTCACAGGGGTCAGAAATGTACTGGACGGTTCTTCACACCCACTCTGGCCTTCGGTCTGTTGCTGCTCGGTGTTCTTTGACAGGCCACTGGGCTGGGGGACAGAGGGCTGGCCCCATGCTGGGCAGGCAGCAGAATGGCTGATGGGGTGGGAGATGTCACATCCAAGCCCCAGAAGCCACAGCGAGGGGTTGGCCTGAAGCCCAGCAGCCCCAGAGTGACAGCGGCCAAGGTGGAAGGCCTGAGAAGGATGGCCAGTTGGACCCCCACCCAGCGCAATCCCAGACACAACTGAACTTAGCATGACCTGGAATTTGGTTCATCGGGGTTTTGTGGTATTTCACTTTGAAACTGTAGCTGGTGCTTCTGCTAAGGATGGGTGAGCCCAGCAATGTTAGGGTTTAGCAAATCCCCCTGACAGGGCCTCAGACACTAGAGGTTTGGAAAAAACTGGGAGGGCGTGCAGCCAAATCCTTCCCTTTCCCTTTAATTTTTGAAGCCTGTGTGTACTTTGATGAGAAACTTAATACATATGTTTCTGATTCATTTACACATTTGTAACTCTATGTCCAAAGGGCCTGGGAAGCTTCTTTCATCCCCACACCATAGAGATGTCTAGTTTTCTTTTGGGGGGAAGCCAGAAGTCTCTTTTTTCCTTCCACACAGACTCTGATGGGGTCTGAAAGTTCTAGGTGGCCCTTGGACAAGTCCCCCAAGGCCCTGAAAGGCTCTGACCTATGCCAGTCCCCTTTCCACCCACCTCAAGCCCCATCCTCTTCCTGCGCTAGAGGAACACCATGGAAATGTGTACACCAAATAGTGAGCAATTCCAGGGAAATATGAGGCTCTCAGAGATTTATGACCCACGGCCTGAGCAGAACTCAACAGGAAGAGTAGCGGGTTAAGGAACCAAAGTGAGGTCAAGTTTCCCCACTTAATTTACAGCTCAGGTTTCAGATCCCAGCCGGCAGGACCCCCACCCTGCTATCCTCAGCCCCCAGGCCTGACTTTTTACCTCAGTCTCACCTCCTCAGGGGATCCCTCCTTGTCCGCCTCTTTCATCTGTTCTTGAATATCTGTCACCAGGACATTTGGGCCACCTCGTCCGAGGGCCCAGTTCCCGGCTCAGCTCCCAGGGCCTGGGAAGTGATACCATCGCCACATGTAGTTTTCACCTGTGGGCAGAGAATGCAGCTGCCAGTGCTGATGTAGTCTTGGATGCAGAGAGCCACAGTGTTCAAAGAGCTCACATGGGAAATGCGTATGCCTGGAGCTTGATGAGGAGACAGGGTAGCTGCACAGAAGCACTGGAGTGTGCTTCCATTTCTCTACTTTGGGGTGTTACTAGACTATGGTCTGGGGGCTCCCAAACCATCCTGCAGTATAAGAGGCTCAAATGTCTCCAGTTACCCCCCAGATCCCATCAGTAGGAATCTCCCCGATCACAGCCACTATGGACCAGCTGCACCAGGTAGCAGGGCCCAGGGCAGGGCGGAGATTCAAAGGTTCACACACACAACAGCCAGGATGTGGAGACAACCTGTGGGTCCATCGTCAGATGAACAGATACACAAAATGTGGTGTCTACATAAAGTAGGATATTTTTCATCCATAAACGGAATGACATCCTGTTACATGCTGCAACATGGGGGAACCTTGAAGGCGTGCTGAGTGAAAGAAGCCAGAAACAGCAGGACAAACGCTGGATGATTCAACCAGATGGAATATCTGGAACAGAGAAATTCTGGGAGACAGAAAGTGGCATAGAGGTTACTGGGGTCTGGGGGAGGGGAGAATGGGGTGTTAGTGTTTAATGGAGACAGAGGCTCAGTTTGGGATGATGGGAAAGTCCTGGAGATGGAAGTTGTGATGGTTACACAGCACCGTGAATGTAGTTACTTGCCACCTAATTGTGCATTTAAAAATTGGTGAAATGATAAAGTGTATGTCATGTATATTTTATCACAATAGTAATAAAAAAAGATTCACACAGGACTGTTCCCCCAAAGCCCCCAGAGAGTGGGTTCTTTCTCACCTTGGCTGCTTTCTCCCAATATCAGTATCACAAGATCACTTTTGGGTGACCTTAGGTAAAGCTTCACCTTAAAAAAGGATGAAATTTCAAGCCATCCCAAATGGTCTTCTAGCCAATAGTTTCAGAAGAACATTCCTGCTCATGAATGGTGCTACATCCATCATTGGGCTGAATGGAGTTCAAAGACTATTCTTATAAAAAAGATTGTTTCTCAGTTTCCAAAATCAACATTCCACCCCTCTGCCAACTTCTTAGCACTTGATTGGTTGGCAAAGCCCATATTAGTTGAAATGGAAGGCTATCTGCAGAGCCGCGTAACTCATGGAGCCACCGTCCTCCCCCAGGGTGACGGAGCTGACCGGGTACGAGCCGCAAGACTTGATCGAGAAGACCCTCTACCATCACGTGCACGGCTGCGATGTGTTCCACCTCCGCTACGCGCACCACCTCCGTGAGTATCGCCCCGCCCGGGGCTGCGGCTGGGGGTGGCCCCAGAGGAGGTGCAGGGGACAGAGGCAGGAAGTGAATGCTGTGAATAAGAGCAACAGCAGAAGTGATACTTACAGAGCCCTTACCACTGTCAGGCACTGGTTGAATTATTAAATATATTACCAATCCAGTGAGGGAGGTTCTCATGTTCATGATCCTCTCTTTACTATTGAGGTTGCTGAGGTTCAGAGAGGTTAAGCCATTTGCCCACAGTTACACAGCAAAGAGGCGGCACAGCTGGGAGCTGAACCCAAGCAGCAACCAGCCTGTGACCACTGTCTACCACCTGCTGGGGAAGCTCAAGGGAGACCATAGGTTCCCAAGATGGGAGAAGTCAGCATGGAAAAAATGAACAAACAGTATTTGATTTGCCAGCAGAGATAGTTTGGGGAATATCTGGATGGAGGGAGGCGCTCAAGTCACTGAAATATTAAAAAAAAACACTTTTCATCTAGAATCCAAATTGAGGCAGCAAATAATTGGGATGGGGTGGAATACCTCATCATGCCAATGCCCAGCCCCGCCACACTAAAGGCCAATCCAGGGGTGCTTGTTAATGGGGTGCAGATGGCTGGAGGAGCTCTTACATAACAGGACCTGACTGAAGGTCCTCTGCTCGCACACTCTTTGTATTGACTAAGAAGCGTTAGAAGACAGGTTGCTGGTGTTAAATGGGAGGTGGATGGCAGGTCCAGGGGCTGCTCCATCTGCAGCCACATTGTCTGCCTGGCCATCTGGGGTCAATGGGGACCGTGAGCATGGCAGTTACTAGGATGTCACTGTCCTCTCCTCCCAAGCCGCTATGGGCAGAGGCCCATGCCAACCAGGACACTGGCTGGCAGACCCAGCATCTCCTGCTCCCTTTTAATTCACAGCAGCATGGAAAGGTCTCTGTGCACAGAGAGACTCAGGGTTGTGAACAGCCTTTTTATTTCTTGTTTTTAAATGACCAAATCTGAATCTCACATACCTGTCACTGTCGAGACCAAGCCTGGTAGGGAAGCAGCTGCCATGTTTGGATGGGGCCTGTAGGTCAGCCTCACTGATGTGGCAACTAGAGGCGTTCCTTGTACAAACATGGTGGAGGGTGTCAGTTTGTTATTTGGGAGACTTGGATGTGCAGGCAATAAGAGGGGATGTGTGCTCTGACATCATGAAGCCACTGGCAGACAGAGTAGGCATCTGCTTGAAGGATATGGGCAGCAACGTGCCCCAAAAAACAGTCTAGAAGGGATGACAGTGGGAACAGGGAGCAAACGTGAGGGTTGGCACCCCCACACCTCCCCTGCCACTGTTGGGGTGGAGAGGGCAGGAGGGCTGCTCAGAAAGCACTGGGGGGTCCAAACCCCCTTCTACAGATGCAGGAGTATATTGGGAGCTTCTGGCAGATGACGACAGGGGAGGTCTGGCGGCAGGGTCTTCGTGGTGTGGAGCAGGGCAGTTGGAACCCTCTCGGGGGTGTGCTCCATGAGGCCTTGCTCCCCTTCCCGGGACAGAACCAGGCCTGGGCCGAGGAGGTGACTGAAAGGGTAGGGGGAGTGAGCCGAGAGGGCGCTGTCGGCTGGGATTCGGTCCACCCAGGGGAGGGTGAGCATTTGTATCCTGGTCCGGCCAGAGGGGGCTCTGCCGAGGACAGGGGTCTGGAGGAGCTGGGGCCCTGGGAAGCTGCCAGAAGCCAAGGGGAGTGTGAGGAGCAACAGCCCCGTCTTCACAGTCTCTTGGGCCCCCTGCCTTGGCCCTGGGCCTCCCTCCACATGCTGCTCCTCCTTCCAAGCTACGTGGCCTTTTCCTTGTGTGCACGATCACCTCTCTCCAGGGGCCCATTGTCCCCTGCCCAGGGTCCCTGTTGGCTGGCTGGTGCGTCCTCCATACCCAGGCCCGTGCCCAGGGCCAACTGCTGCCACCTCTCCTCCCGGAAGGGAGCCCAGCTCCTTCCAGCCCCACCCCAGGGACCTAAGTTCTCGATCCTCCTGCTGTTCAGTTCCTTCTGGGGACTCCGCCGTCCTGCTGCAGCTGCCGTAACAAACTACCCCAGATGGGGGCTTAAACAACAGAAATTTGTTTTCTGGAGGTTGAAGTCCAGGTGTAGGCAGGGCTGCTGCCCCTGAGACCCTTTCCTGGGCGTGTATACACCATCCTCTCCCCATGTCCGCACGTGGCCATCCCTCCGTGCGTGTCTGTGTCCTCATCTCGTCTTCCTAAAGAGACACCGTCACACTGGATCCCACCTTTCTGATCTTGTTTGCTGTCACTCCAAATACAGCCACTCTGTGGACCACCCCGCTGACATTTGGAGTCCTTTCCAGCCCAGGGAACTGGGGACCCCTGCCCTCTGGGGCCTGCCCCTGCTGCCTCCCTGCTCTCTTGGCAAAGTGGGAGCCTCTTTCTTGCATGTAGGGAAAGCCGGCAGAGGTCTGTGTTCTCTTGACTTGCAGGTCCTGGGGGTAGGCTGCGGGGGCAGCCTGAGGCACAGGTTGGGAAGAGATCAATGTTGGTAAACTTGGCAATTTGTGTTGAAGGACACTGGGCAGATTTCTTGCAGACACAATGGTCTAGAAGAACCATAATGTCCACATGGATATTTGTCCAAGGTAGCAGAGAATTCCACCTAGCTCCCCAGGTAGGCCCTTGTCCAGAGTGGGCCAAGCCCAGATCATAGAGAAAACATAGGCCATGTCCAACTATCAAAACATTTCAATCACACAGAAGGGCTTCAAAGTCTGAGTATGTGATGTACACATTTCAAACAGTAGCTGTTACACCAAATTACAGAACAGCTGGTATAGAACACACTTTAAATGATGTGTAAGAGCCACAAACTCAAATGCTTCTGGGGCCTGGCATGTAACATGAATGTATGAATGTGCAAGTGTAGGCAGTAGGGAGTGGTAGGCCTGTGGCTAACGGAAGAACCCTTGGGCATCTAAAGTCATTCTGAGTAATGACACTGGGCCTGTCCAGCAAAGCCCATCTGTGGGCACGTGTGGTGGGTGGGATATCAGTCTGCAACCTCTCTATAGCACCACGATGGACAGGGGACAAAGGTCTTGAAACAGAAGATAAACTTGAAAGACATTTCCAGTCCAGTGTGAGAAGTCTAGATGAATGTTACAGGGAAAGCTGGCTCCTGCTGCTGGCCTCGTGGGCCTCCAGACCGGGAGCGGACAATGTAGTCCTTGGCTGGTGGCTGCATCACTCCGATCTCTGCCTACATCTCCCTCTGTGCGTCTGTCTTCTGCTCTTCTGTCTCATATGAGGCGCTTGTCATTAGACTTAGGGCCACCCTATTCCAGGATGATCTTGTCTGGAGATCCTTACCTTAATTATATTCTCAGAGACCCTATTCCTATTTCCCAAATATTGTTATATTCACAGGTTCCAGGAACATATCTTTTCAGGGGATACTATTTAGTCCACACATTTGGAATCCTTTTCAGCTCTTAAAATTCAAACCTGAAACAGAAATTGTGCTTCAGGCCAAGGTTTACTTTCCTCATAGAGGCTGGCGTGTAGATCTGGCTGTGCCTGCGTGAGGAGGTCTGCAAGAACAGGAAGGCCACCTCCTTCTCTGGACAGCATAGTTATGGAACCAGAGTTTCTGCTGCCTCTGTTATGGACAGCAGAGGCTTAGGAAACCATGGCCCCTGGCTTTCATCTAAGCATGGGGTCACCTTGATTTCAGAACCAACTTTGAACATGATGTTGGAGATACTACCTCATTGGGGTACAAGGGATGGGGCCTCTGCCCTCGGGAGCTTATGGTTTAGGGGACATCTCCAATCTGCCTGTCCATCACTGCCAAGCAGGGCCTTCTTACTTTATAGTCTGCTAGCCTGGGATCATTTCAGGAAGCTAATAAAAAATGACAGACTGGAGGTGCAGCTGGAGCAAACCAAAGAATATTGGGACTGTCTAAGATTTCAACTTGGATTGATAGGTTGACTATCGCCATGGGTCATAGAGAAGAAAAAGCAAACAATATCTGTGTTGTTTGATCTGCATATGTAAGCCCCGTCATAGCAGACGGTCAGAAATAATACAGTCTCTGCAACTTCTGCCATTTGAATACTATTATAAAATACTTGGGTGAATAAAATATTCATTGTACCCAGTTAAAGATGATTGTGGATAGGCTTTAGGAATGTTGTAAAAAAATAAGGGAAGTATAAAGTACAAGATAAGAAAAGGGAAAAATACATGGTCATATCCCTAGGAGCTTTATAAATGCTGCTAGGATTAGATTTCAAAGTTGAAGGTATTAATAAGCATTTCTGTTGGAGAAAAATATGACCTCTTGGGCCATCACATGTGGGACTGCAGTTCAATCATTAGGGCGCATCTTTTCTGGGCCCTAAGCAAACCGATTAACTGAGTCTCCCCTAACAGGTGGCCCACCCCACCCCCACAGGTAGCTGCAGAGAACCTTCTGGAGACTGCTGCCCCCTGCCCCCACAGTAGCCACTCTGAGAAATGGGAGTCAGAACACCTGGGCTGGAGCCCCAGATGTGCCCTCAGGATTTGTTGGCCCCACGTTCTTGGTGATGCCCACCTCCCACAGTTGTAGTGAGGGAGGTGGGGGATGCGACAATGTACTCAAAAATGAGCTGGAAACTTGTTAAAACAAGTTGTATCTTGTTAAAACAAGGAAACCTCAAAAGGGGAAGCATAGTAAAGCCTCTCTCTTTCTTGCTGCCTTTGTCCACACTCTTCAGCAGAGGACCTTATTCCTGCCACGCAAGTCCCATTGAGCTGTGAATGTTCAGCCTGGGGAGAAAGGAGCTTGTCCGCCCCGTCCTGGGCCACCTACCTCTCCCTCTGCTCAGGGTGCTTGTCCTACAATTACAGGTGTGGGCCTGGTGTATGTTGCACTTCTGCTTCCAAACCCCCATACAGACTTACATGCCCAAGTAAAAATAACTAATTTCTCATTTCGATTAGAAAACTAGCTCCTTATTGTTGGAATTTAGAGAATCAAGGAAACCTGAGAGATGAAAATGAAAGTTATCTGTGATTTTATCAGTCAGATAATGGGAGTTGGTACGTGTTGAGTCCTTCATGCGTGTCTGTCACTATTCTAAATATTCACATAGATGATCTAACCCTCACGACAACCATATGAGGTAAGGAGTATGACTATCCTCACTATAAAAGGAGAAACTGAGGCACGGGGAGCTAGTAACTTGTCTGGGATCACACAGTTCTCTGAGGGGTGGATGTGCGTGTGTGTGTGTGTGCATGCACTTTTTCATAATTGGGATTCTACTCTATGCAGTTCTGAATCTTGTCTTTTTAATTGAGATATAATTAACATACAATATAATATTAGTTTCAGGTATAATGATTTGATATTTGTATATATTGCAAAATGATCACTACAATTAGTCTAGTTAACATGCATCACCACAAAGTTACACATTTTTTTCTTGTAATGAGAACTTTTAGTATCTATTCTCTCAGTAACTTTCAAGTATACAATACTAATATTGTTAACTATGGTCACTATGCTGTACGTTACATCCCTATGATTTATTTATGCTATACCTGGAAGTTTGTAACTTTTGAGACCCTTCACCTTTTGCACACCCCCATCCCTTCCTCTGACAAACACCAATTTGTTCTCTATGAGTTTGGCTTTTTTTTTTTAAGATTCCACATAAAAGTGAGATCATATGGTATTTGTCTTTGACTTATTTCCCTTAGCATAATGCCTTCAAGGTCCATCTATGGTGTTGCAAAAGACAAGCTTTCCTTTTTTATGGCTGAATGATATTCATTAGGTCTCTCTGTGCCACATTTTCTTTATTTGTTCATCCTTTGATGGACACTCAGGTTGTTTCTATGTCTTGGCTATTGTAAATAATGGTGCAGTGAACAAGGGGTGCAGATATCTTTTTGAATTAGTGTCTTCATTTCCTTCAGATAAATACACAGAAGTCGAATTTTGGGATCATATGACAGTCCTATTTTCAATTTTTTGAGGAACCTCCATACTGCTTTCCATAGTAGCTGCCACAAATTTACATTCCCAGCAACAGTGCACAAGGGTTCCCTTTTTCCACATCTTTGCCAATACTCATTTCTTGTCCTCTTGATAATATCAAGGGGTGCATGATATCTCACTGTGATTTTGATTTGTATTTCCCTGATGATGAGTGATGTGGGGCACCTTTTCATGTACCTGGTGGCCATCTGTACATCTTCTTTGGAAAAATGTCTAATCAGATCCTTTGCTCATTTCTCTTTTTTTTTGGGTGTCATTAATCTACAATTACATGAAAAACATTATGTTTACTAGTCTCCCCCTATCATCAAGTCCCCCCTACATACCCCATTACAGTGACTGTCCATCAGCGTAGTAAGATGCTATAGAGTCACTACTTGTCTTCTCTGTGTGCTACAACCCTCCCTGTGCCCTGCCCCGTACATTATATCTGCTAATAGTAATGCCCCTTTTTCCCCCTTATCCTTCCCTTCTCACCCATCCTCCTCAGTCCCTTTCCCTTTGGTAACTGTTAGTCCATTCTTGGGTTCTGTGAGTCTGCTGCTATTTTGTTCCTTCAGTTTTTTTTCTTTGTTCTTATACTCTGCAGATGAGTGAAATCATTTGATACTTGTTTTTCTCCACCTGGCTTATTTCACTGAGCATAATACCCTCTAGCTCCATCCATGTTGTTGCAAATGTAGGATTTGTTTTCTTCTTATGGCTGAATAACATTCCATTGTGTATATATACCACCTCTTCTTTATCCATTCATCTACTGATGGACACTTAGGTTGCTTCCATTTCTTGGCTATTGTAAATAGTGCTGCAATAAACATAGGGGTGCATATGTCTTTTTCAAACTGTTTTCCCCATTTCTTAATTGGACTATTTGTTTATTTGTTTGCTACTGTGTTGTATGAGTTTATCATATATTTTGGCTATCAACCACTTATCAGATATATGATTTGCAAATATTCTCTCCCATTCTATAGGTTGTTTTTTCATTTTGTTAATGGTTTCCTTTGAAACCATCATATGCTTCTCACCATAGATTAGTTGCCATTTCCCAGTGTCATTTTACTATGTTTTTTTGAGATGAAAGTCACATATTTTCAGTGGTTTTAGTATATTTAAAATGTCATGCATCTGTCACCTTTATCTGATTCCAAAATATTTTCTTCATCCCAAGAAGAAGCCTGGGACCATTAGCAGTCTCTCCCAGTGCCTCTCACCCTCCAGCTCCTGGCAGCTGTTAATCTGCTTTCTATCCCTGTGGCTGTGCTTATTCTGGACATTTCACATAAATGCAATCATATAATATTTGTTTCTTTTTAAATGTCTGCTAATTTAATGGATGTTACCTAGTTTTGAGTTAAACATATGAGTTGAACATTTGTTTGCCATTTATATTTATTCTTTGATGAATTATTTGTTCACGACCTTTGCTGTATTAGCTTTAGAGTCTTAATGTTTTTATCAGTCTGTATGAACTCTTTCTGTATTAAGGCTAGTAACTCCTTGACTGTCATATTTGCAGAAATTTTTCTTCTGCACCAAAATATTTTGCTGCAAGTGTTTAAATGAATGATGATGAGCCACTTTCAACATTTCAAAGGAAATGGAGAGCCCAGGGATGTTTGGGGCAGAGAGTGAAGGGGCACGAGAGAAGGGCTGAGTTTCCATATCTGCGAGCCTTGGGAGGTTCCCTCAGCACCAGCCAGCACATCGCAGCCCTCAGGCAGCTGCTAGTTAGGGCCCTGGGTCTACACCAGCCTTGAGAAGCAGGAATGCCCTGCAGCTATGACCTGGGTACCCAGGGGTGCCTTTTTAGACTTGTGCTGGCCTCCCCTTGCCTGGAGAAGGTTAACTTGGGGCTTTCTCCTCTCCACTGCCCACATGAAACAGCGGGCACTTTCCTCCATCTCCAGCCCTCCCCTATATGTGCCCTCATGAGCCCTAAGGGGGAAAAGGGGAGGTTTATGTGCACTGGCTTTGAAAGGGAGTGGCTCAGCTGTGCAGAGTTGCACCCATGCATAGAAGATGGGCCCATAGGCCCAATTTTCAAGAACTATGTGGTGAAGCAGAGGTCATTCCTACATGAGCAACAGAAAATTAATGGACCCAGGGAAAACCAGGGTGAGCGGGAGGAAAATATAAATCGCAATAGAGTAGCAAATGGTTTCACTGTGAATACACATGTTCTGGGGAACAAATACCAACAATCTGATGCTTAGTTGAATACACTTAACTTACTGTTTTGTTTAAACAACCACATTACTTCCCACCCCCAATGCAACCCCCACCCCACTCCACCCTCACTGCCCATTAAGGGTTTTGGGGATTATAACTGAGGCATTTTGGAAACTAAAAAGCAAAACCAACTTTACCATTCTGCCAGGTGCAAATGCTGTTTGGGGATGGATTGCTTCTTCCATGAAAGCGATAGCTATCCAATCTGAATTCATTACAGGGATGGGGAGAGATTCTACTCGGTTCCCTTGAAATTGTAGGCAAAAATCTTGTTCACGTGTGTGTGTGTGTGTGTGTGTGCGCGCGCGCGCACGTGCGTGCAAGCATTTGCCTTCCTATGGAGAAAGCGCACCCCCTTTGTCAAGTTCTCAAAGGTGCCCTTGATCCCAGAAAGGTCTAGAACCAGGACTGTAGGTCATCAACTGGGGCAAAGGCAGGGCCCAAAGGCAGGACCTGCTGTCGGCCCTCAGGATTTATGTCACCTTGTGCTTGCAGTGCTGGTGAAGGGCCAGGTCACCACCAAGTACTACCGGCTGCTGTCCAAGCTGGGCGGCTGGGTGTGGGTGCAGAGCTACGCCACCGTGGTGCACAACAGCCGCTCATCCCGGCCCCACTGCATCGTGAGTGTCAATTATGTCCTCACGTAAGTCCACCGTATTTGTTTCTCTCCTTGCTTTCTCCCTCCCTGCCCCTCATCAGAGCGCTCTTGTAAGAACCATCTCTCTCTCTCTTTCTGGAACTGTGCATTTGTCTCCTGTTTTGTTTTTATTTGAACAATCTGGTCGTTTGGAAAGGTACAAGCTATTTCCATACTCAGCATTGAGGCCCAGGTGCCAGGCAGCAGTGAAACACCAGAAGGGGAGCCCTGCCCTGGGTGTAGCTTAGGATGGGGTTGGAGAGCCTGGGTGGAGGGTGTGGGTGGGCAGGGGGTGGGTGGGAGATGCCCCCATCTTGAATAGGATGGACAAGGGTTGCACACCTTGGACCAGGAATACAGACTTATGCCCTCCGTGCCCGCAAACATTTGGGTCATCTTGCATGCTCCTGCCACTTGAGACAAGGGATACCTCTCTTCCATTTTTCCCTGTCTTCTTAAATAGCCTGTTGCAAAATATGGCAAATATTTTACCCCTTGAAAGCCCCAGAAAGTCAAGTTCAGTCATAGTACTTTTGAGACCATCAGAAGCAACATGACATAAGTCTACCTGGGGTCATATACTACTCTGCCCACCGTAGCCAGTGGATGTTACATGACCTCTCGCCCAGCTCTGACCCTGCACTTGATCCCCTCGTGGTCCCGCAGCCCCGCCCTGAACAGGGGCCTTGCGTGAGTGCTGACCCAGTGACTTAGGCTCTCCGTTCTTTCACAGAATGTGTCACTGCTGGGTCCCTGGCTTTTTTTTTTTTTTTTTTTGACGTAGAGTGATTTTAGCAAAATTGTAGGGTAGAAAGCATTCAGCCACTTAAAGATTTGTTCTGAGCAAACAGGTAGGGCTGGTACTTGGGCAACTTCCCCTCCCATGGACATATCTGCACCGAGTGGGCTCTTCAGGGCAGAAATGGGTGCCTGGTGTGGAAATGGGCAAGCCTCCTGGACCCTCAAAGGCCCCCCATTAATGCCTCCTGGGTGCCAAACAGAGAAGGAGCTAGACCACAGATGCTCAGATTGATAATAGTGCTTCTGCTCTTTCCTTTTGCCCTGACACCCTTCCCAGTGGCCCCTGGCATCTCAAGGAAAATGTGTTTGGGGTCTTGTGAAATTGGGGAGAGCTGCATCCACCCACCTCTTAACACTAACTCCCCCCAAAACACTAACCTGGGTGGCATTTCCCAGGGCCACCAAGCCTGAGACTGGGGGTGGCTTTTATAATGAGCTGTCCTTTTCTTAAATCCCATCCCATGAACCTGCCTGAAATGAGGTACTGGAGCTCGGCAGGGGGTGGTGCCAGGGCGGCCACTCTTGCGCTGCAGCCCGCTGAATGCGACCTGTCTCACTCTTGCCTCTCAGGGATATTGAATACAAGGAACTCCAGTTGTCCCTGGAGCAGGTGTCCACGTCCAAGTCCCAGGACTCCTGGAAGACCTCCTTGCCTACCTCACAAGAACCTAGGAAATTAGCTAAACCCAAAAATACGAAGATGAGGACTAAGCTGAGAACAAACCCTTACCCCGCACAGGTAACACACCCTACCTGCAGGGGAGGGGTACGGCTGTCATCTGTCCCAGGCAGCCTGAGAAATGGGGCCTGTTAAGGAGTGGTGGGCCTCAGAATGCACAGCAGACGGTGTTCTGGTGAGTGAAGCCAAGCCCTATGGGGTGCCCTGTGCGCACAACAGAGGCACAGCCTGGAGGCAGGCAAAGCTAACATCCAGGGGGACTAGTCACGTTTAGGAGAAAGAAGACTAAATAGGGAAGGCACATCAGCTTGCTAGAATCCGAACACTGGTGTGTTACATTTCCCCAGCATTTATTTTTAAATGAAACTTGCCCTCTTTCTTTTTTAGGTAGTTTGCAAGCTTGCAGACATAGGAAGTGTCTGTGTGCATCCCGTGTACTGTCAACGCGGGGTGGGGAGACTTCTTTCCCCCACAGAGGATGGGTCATTGGGGTGCTGTTTGCTGAGCACGTGGGGGTGGGGGAAGCCTACTGGTGAAATGGGTTGGGCGCTAGAGGGTCGGATCTTGTGAGGCCAGAAGGGAGTTGATCACAGAGCCCTTAATCCGTCTTTACCATGCAGCAATACAGCTCGTTCCAAATGGACAAACTGGAGTGCAGCCAGCTCGGAAACTGGAGAGCCAGCCCCCCCGCCAGCGCTCCGGCTCCCCCAGAACAGCAGCTCCATTCAGAGAGCAGCGACCTTTTGTACGCCCCGCCCTACGGCCTGCCCTTCTCCTACCATTACGGACACTTTCCGCTGGACTCTCACGTCTTCAGCAGCAAAAAGCCCATATTGCCGGCCAAATTCGGACAGCCCCAAGGATCCCCGTGCGAGGTGGCACGCTTTTTCCTGAGCACACTGCCAGCCAGCGGCGAGTGCCAGTGGCATTATGCCAGCCCCCTAGTGCCCAGCAGCCCGTCTCCAGCTAAAAACCTTTCTGAGCCACCGGTGAACGCTGCTCGGCACAACCTTGTGCCAAACTACGAAGGTGGGTCATGTTTGCACGAGGGGAGGGGGCAGAACTGTGAACAGCAGTGGTGGCCGTGGTGGGTGGCAGATGGAAAAAGGATCCTCACACTTTGGGCAAATTTTTCCTTTTTCTGCTTCTAAGTAGGAACTGCTCTGCTTACCTGCTCTCAATGCAAATGCTTCAGGAGAGTGAGAAAAGCCAGGTGACCGAGTCTGTGGGCACTAGTGACAACACAAAGGCCAGAGGAAACTGGGGGTTCAGCCACTCTTCATAGAAATCCTGGCTTTGTTTGCTCCCCAAAAGGGAGGCAGAGTGATTTTCAAAATGAGCTTCAGTGTACTGAGAATGTTCCAGTTGCATTTAGGATAGAAGATTATTTTCCACCCCACCCAGAATTGAATATAGGACACTATCGGTTTCTTCCCATGCCAGTTTTCAAAGTGTGGAAAACAGTGGTGGAAATTCATGGGCTCAAGGACAAAAATACCACCCACCAATCCAGGGCAAATAACATCAACCTTCCAGGACTCAGTTTCTTCTTCTGTAAAATGGGGTCACAAGTCATGAAATGCCCACTCCAGGGCTTGGCACACAGTAGATGTTTGCCCCACACATAGTCATTCAGCAACAGAAGAGAGGATTGGCCCCTCAGCCAGGTCCTCCTGGTGGCAGACAAGCAGATGTCCCCTGTGGAGGTGCCACGAGCTGCCCCAGGCCCAGGCAGACCCCGTCGGCTCATTGGGCCAACGCCAGGAAGAGGGCAGAAGGTGGGCATTAGCTGTAAGATCCTGCTTCACCCACACCTAGCTACTGCTCAGTATAGACCAAGATGGTACAAATGCTCTTGGTGGCCACTAAATGCATGGCAAATGTTACATGCCCCAGAAAAGCATCACCCACCTAAAGAGGAGAGCTCGCTGGAGCTCCTGCTCCAACTTTCTCTCCCTGGAGGCAGGTAGGGCTCTGCTCCTCCTCAGGCCACTCTAGGGAGCTCCTGCTCAGGCCCCATCCCTGTAAGGCTGGGAGACACATCTCCCCACATCTGAGAGAAGGGCCAGGTCATGGGAGAAATCTAACCTTCTTGGAGATTACCAGGACATGTTTTTCAAAAGTAGCCAACTTAGAAAAAACCATTCAAGCACCCAAGCAGTGCGGCCCTACCTCCTGACCTTATGGGTCCTGAGAGCAGCACATTTCTCAGACTTGGATCCCCAGCACCCATCAGTGCATTGGATCCCTCCTGAACAGGCAAGGAAAGAAAGACAAAGCAGGGCAATGATAACAGCTGGAAATACTATCCACTTGAGCTTGATTTTAAATAGTTTTCTTTGTGTGTAGAAGGTCGCCAGTGAGATAACACATAGTGCTGAATTTTAATTGCTGTTTGAAAGTGAAAAAGGTTAATAACCACCTCATTTGTCACACACTTGATAAAAATGGACCAAAGGTGCACATCTGGGGCAATTTGTGATCTGCTTCCTAGTCTTGATATTCACGGAAGGCAAAGATTTTCTTAAGGTAAAAAACGCAGGAAGCTAATTGATTCCAGGCATCCCATCAGTGAGGGCGGTTATTACTTTAATTATGATAGTACTAAAGGGGCGGGGTGAAGAGGAGGGAAGAGCAAAGACTGGGGCCACCTACCGCTAGGGTGTGGAAGCCCCGAGACCAGAGCTGCCCACTATTGCAGCCAGTAGCGCGGGCTGTGTCTGTACCGCATTTCCAAGACAGAGACAAAGAATAAAATCTTTCAATGATTTAAAAATACTTATTACGTACTGAAATGATATGCTGGCTATGTAGCATGAACTTAAGTATATTAATAACATGAATTCCACCTGTTTCCATTCACGCAGCGCGACCACTAATACCTTTCCAACTGCATCCTGCGCGTGGGCAGCGCGGCCTGGGCGCATGAGGGGCGGGGCGGCCACGGGAGGAGCGCGCGGGCGGCGGGTGGCAGAGGGCTGGTGGCGGCGCCCGGGCCCTCCCGAGGGACGGCGTCCCTCTGGACCCGTCTCCTCCTTCCCCGGCGCCGGCGTCTAACGTGTCGCCTGTCCCCGCAGCGCCCGCCGCCGCGCGCAGGTTCGGCGAGGACACCGCGCCACCGCCTCCGCCACTGCCGCCGCCGAGCTTCCCCAGCTGCGGCCACTACCGCGAGGAGCCCGCGCCGGGCCCCGCCAAGGCCGCCCGCCAGGCCGCCCGGGACGGGGCGCGGCTAGCGCTGGCCCGCGCGCCGCCCGAGTGCTGCGCGGCGCCGGGCCCCGAGTCCCCGGGTGCGCCGGCGCAGCTGCCCTTCGTGCTGCTCAACTACCACCGCGTGCTGGCGCGGCGCGGGCCGCTGGGGGGCGCTGCGCCCGGCGCGCCCAGCCTGGCCTGCGGCCCCGGCGCCCCCGAAGCGGCGGCCGGCGCGTTGCGGCCCCGGCCCCCCGGCCCCGCCGCCGCCTCGCCGCCCGGAGCGCCGCTGCCGCACTACCTGGGCGCCTCGGTCATCATCACCAACGGCAGGTGACCCGCAGCGAGAAGCCATAGGCTAGGCCGCTTGGGCCCCTGATTGACAACGTCCAGCCGAGTCCAGGGGAGGGGGCGAGCTGTAGATGCACGATTTAAATTAATTTATACAGAGACAACTATTTTAATAGAACTCCGCGGCCAACTTTTAGATTTTTACCGTAGCTACCGTAAACGCTAGTGCAGGACCGAGTCCTGGCCCCGGGCCCAGCGGGGAAATGCACGGCAGACCTTTCTGTTCTCCAAGAGCCAGATTAGTCCAAGGGCCAAGGAGAGGTCCCCAGCGTCCCGTGTGTGACCCCAAACCACCCTGTCTTTGGGGGCACTTGGTTTCCTCTTTTGGAAAAGAGGCTCGCGCGCCTGACCGTGGCCCTGATACCCAGTAACAGTCCCGTTGGGAGATGGAAGGAGGTTCCACTCCAGAAATATCCTCCACTTTAAGGAGGAACCCTCGCCCTGATATCGTAAGATATGCCAGACACGCACAGAGCTGACGGAGGACGCCTCGGGCATCTGAGCCCTTTGAGATTCATACATCAAGGCAGAATGTGATGATTTAAGTCCCCAGAATAGACAGCTCCAGGGTCTTTAAAAGCCATTCATGGGTCTCATTAAAAGTTGTTTTAATTTAACCCTTTCTGCCATACAAAACTCAACAAGCCCAGGCCCAGGTGATGACCGTGGGGGTGCTTCACAGGTACTTCCGGGGTTACTTCCTCCTAATCCCTCTGAACTCTTGATAACCAAGAATAGCACCTTCAGAATATTGACTAGGCATTATATATATATACACACACATAGTGCCAGATATTTTATGAGAATGACATGTGGATGATTTAGGTGCCCAAGGCGATTGGCTACCCTTGTCAAATTTGATTACAAGGCAGAATCCCTCTGGTCCACACAGACCTGTAATTCTCTAGGCTCGAGTTTGCTACAAGTAGTGCTAGTCAAGTTAGTTAAGTTGCATGTGCAATATGGAAAACTGTCAATGGACTGTGCCTCATGGAGGAAAACGTGCTTAAGGGATGTAATAAAAATGATGTATACATTTTCTTCAGCATTTTCTGCGTTTTCTACATAGAAAGTTCCATATGAACATGTCATGTGTGTAACAGGTCAACAGAAATCCTTTTATAAGGCACCAGCAGTGTTTTTAAAAATGAACTTCCATTAATTTTTGTTTTATATTTTTGCTTCAAGATTTCACCATTTAAAAATCCTATCACAGCTCTGAAGTGGATGGATACATTGAACCACCGTCTTCCAGTTTGCTCCACTCAATAAACACTCCATCATTTTGCTGCTTCTTAAAAAATGGTTTACTTTTAGGCAACTCCTTCCACCTCCCTGAGTGGAAGGGTTTTTAACAAGTGTATTTAACTCATCGTTCTAGAATCAAAGTGTACCTATGTTGACTGTTCTCAAAATGTGAAGTGATCTGTTGCCAACCCAGTGTCACTATGAGGACCTGCCTTGTTCCCTAGCAGGGTGTCAGTTGCCTTATGATAAAGAGGTGAAATCTGCAAATTTAGTAATGTGTCCTGCATCAGAGAGGCTGGGTTATAAGAACTGAATGCATACACCTCTATATCTATACTGCACTTAGCTGTTCCTCACTAGTGGCTCTGTGTGAGTGTATGCATACATACAATAAAACTGGGATATTATTTTTATGTTCACGACTCCCATAATTTAACTATAATTCCTGGAATATGCAGGTTTGATGAGCAGGAGATATCACCAACATTTTTCAATAAAATACTGCAAAACGCTTTTGTGTCTACCTTATTATTAACCATCGGGGGCTGTATTCAGTAAATACAAATCATAAAGGCTTTCAGAGCAGTTGAAGACAAAATATTACTGTGAAGAAAAGACTGTTACAGATGTACAAATGATAATGTAAATAGGCTTAACAATGATATGTATGTACTTGAAAAATGTGGACTAGGGAAAACTTCATTGTCTAAACAAACATCAGTTTTCATAACCTAGAACATGAAGGAAGATTCCTAAGCAAGCTGGCTTTCAGGGGGCCAGTGGCTCAGTGCAAAGTTAGCAGCAGTTACCATGGCAACCTAATATTGTTAACTCCATCTTTAAGCGTCTGCACATTTAAGCTGGGGATACCGTTTTTTGACTTCTGTGAGGCTCTGGCAGGGAAAGAGGAACATTTTAGTAAATATGGACTCACACACACACACACACACACAAAGAAGAAGAGAAAAACAAGTGTTGTGGTCTTAACACGTTCACAAAAATACCACATCAAATGGATTTGAGAAATAAGCCCAGGTCAAGACTGGCTTGGCCCTCCACGGGCCTCCCAGGGAATGGAATTCCTTTATGTTCATGGAAGTCCTTTCTAGAAAAGCCATTCCATTCATACTTTTGTAGAGAAAGGAACTGGGCGTGAAGAGAGCTGTGGAAGAAATCTGCACCCCTTACCCCCACCCCTTCAGTCCTTTTCAAAGTCCTATTGACCTGCCTTCCTCCTTTGGACCCTAAGCATGGGTGAGGTTTACATGGCCAATGAATCCTGTATAAAGTCTACCTGAAGTTGTAATTTATTGTAACTGTAAGACAGTTAAGGTAGACTGTGGGGGCTGCTACAGATAAAACAGAAAGAAAAAGAACACTTCCAAATATGTGCCAGAAAATTGCAGTAGCTTAAAATTTTAGTGAATCATAGCCCTTGGATTATCTAAAGTGCATTATTCAAGCTGTTCCTAAACTTGAATATGATATATAAGATTAAAATCTGGAGGAAAAAACTGTCAAAAGTCAAATAGTTTTCATGAAAGAGTAAGAACAATTCTAAAAGAAAAAAATGTTCTGAAATTGAATGTTATTACATTTATTTTTCAATTTAAAATATACATTAAATTATATTAAATTTATTTTTCACCTCCATTAAAAGGGTTTTTTTTTACTTTGCAGTTTGCTAACTTTCATCCTTTGGGTTAGTAATAAGATTTCTCTTCTGTATGATACATACTATATTTGTCAAACATCCCCCAAAAGCACCTGGCTTCTTAATACTTAGATACATACATATTCCTTACTATGTAAAACTATTTATTTTGCAAAAATGTTTAAATCTGAATAAAAGGTACTATAACCAAAACTAGCTACCTATTTTTTTAAATGAAACATGGTAAAAATAACAATGAGCCCAAACTACATAGAAAGTCAAAGTTTATTTTGGTAGACTTGCTTTTTATAGGCATTGGTTTAAAGTAATTAATTTTCAGAGACGATTCTTTGAAAAGCTAAAAATGCAAAGGTTTACATTTTCTTTAATTCAAATATGCATAGTAATTACCCAGAAATAAGTATTTTTCATTTTTTGCCTGTTAGGAGCAAAGAGATCTCACAGAAACATAGGCCTAAGATGTCTCCCCTTTGCATTCTAAAACTGTTGGGTGAGGCTGGGTTCTCTCTAGGTCCCAGACTCCAATGTGGGCAGCAACCACATAGGCCTCCCAGTGCCTGTATGGGAGGGTGCAAGGTTGGGACCCCCTTCAGGGCCTGTGTACCCACCCCTCGTTGGGTCACTTGTTCCCACACTGGGCAGAGCCAGTGTGCTGCAGTGGCAAACCCCACCGACTGCTTTACGTGGGACACAATTCCTCCCTCTGTCGCCCACTCCCTCTGAGCTGCCAGGATGCCCAGAGCCAACAACGCTGACTGCTTGGGCAGCAGCCCCAGGAAGCCCAGCGATTGCTGTGTCCTATTTTCCGGAACACTTCCCCAAGAGTTCCTCTGAAATCTGCTGCCAGCTTAGAAAGATGTCTTGTCTCTTATATAACCTGGTAGATGCTCAGTGCACAGCCTCTAAACTGGGGACAAGTTCAAATGCCCTAAAAGCACATGCTGTTCCTGAGTCTAGTTGCCATGTTTTAAAGATTATGCAGGAAAATAAAATGCAAAGTTTCCATACAGACTTGAAAGCTCCTTGAGATCATAGACTCCCAGGTGCATCAAACGTCCCAAATCAATGCATGTAGTATATGCAAGTAGATCATTTCCTTGATGCTAACAGCCATGAGTGAAATGCCTTTATTCTGCTGTTCTATATGCAGCAGACTTCCAAAAGTCTTTGGTTCAGCTGAGGCAAAATCAGTTTTATGAAAAACACAGCATCTGCTTCAAGTCTCTTTCGTCTCCCTCAAGACAACTGGGTGTCGGCTCTCGTAAAAACAGTCTTAAAAGCACAGCAGTATGCCCAGAACATCCCTGTCTGCTCTGACACTGCCACACTTCATTAGTTTTAATTTACAGAAAGGAAGTTAAATGATAACATTTTTTCTCCCGATGCAGAACTGTCTAGAGTAGGACTTTAGCTTAAAACAAAACATAGCATGTTTTTCATTAAATAAGCCTCCAAAGAAATTAAAAAAGCAATGCTGGCAGGTCTGAGAGATGACTTGCCTTATATTACAAAGTTTGAGAAATGAAACTTGCAACATTAGCCTGGAGATCTTTCTTCTTGGTGATATTTTGCAGATACTCTCTCCAGGGTGAGTCCATTTGGTAATTTTGGGGTGGTGTAGACTTTTATTTAAACTTGTCACTAATTCCAAGAAAATATTCTGGCATTTAGGAGGGAGTAAAAATTTTTTTTTTGAGAAAAATAATTCAAACTGAAGCCTTATTTGCACAAATTATGCCTGGAGTTCTTTTAGTTATGTTTCCAAAAAACACATATAGGGTTGGTGTACTTAACTAAACATGTTAATTTTTTTCCTTCCTATGGGGCTGCCTGTGCCTGGCTAAAGGTAAACCAATTTTGTACTGAAAACCACGGGTTTCTGGAATTAGCCTGACTGAGGAAAGCAGGCTAAAGATGGTGCTAGTGTACAATAAGGGGATTTTGTCCAAAGACGGAGAGCTCCGTCAAGTTTTCTTTCCACTAATTTCAGTTAGGATTGGCAGGAAGAGAGAAAAGTGGACAGAAATTGGCCTTTTAAGGCTGAAAAGTAATGTGCATGATTCACACATTCAACAGAGATAGGCGTTACATGGAAAAAGTGTGGCATACATCTGGAAATGGCAAATGTATATCAAACAGTTTCTTTTGTTCTTTCATGGAGGCATTTAGGAGATCAGAATTTGAGCATCTTCTTTCAAAGCTTCACACACACACACACACACACACACACACATCCTCTCTTTAATGATGGTATTCAGTATCAATAACATTTTCTTCCTTGGCAATACAGAAGAAAGGGCACAAAAACTTGCGACTTACAAATAAAATGCCACATACGTCTATGCTCTGTGTGCTGCAGTCTCGCAGGAATGCACCATGTTTCAAAGGGAGCCTGAAACCAGCTTAAAAGCGTCAAATCCTCCCATGTGTGCAGTATGAGAACAAGCCTTCATCTCCAGCTGTTAGGGCCAAATCATCCTCTCCCACGTCCAAGCGACGCCTCATCAACGCTTTAAAGATCTTGAACTTGATCCCATCACTTCAGAATATGCAGTAAATTCAAACTTATGAAAGGAGAGCTCATAAATTAATGTCAAAGTAATTAACTGGTTTCCTCTACAAGGTCATTGCAACTGTGCCAGCTAGACGCATCTCTGTAGCTACTGGGACACTGTTGCTGGGCCACAAACCGCCAGGCTGAGAGTAATTCTTAGAAGTCTGCCCTCTCTTATCCTCATTAACAACAAAAATAAAACAATGAATAAGTGCCAGTGTCTGTTCCTCCAGGAAAATGCCTCCCTGGGTGCTCATAAACAGTGTTACCATACCTCTACCTCACCACTGGTCTGGGCCTGAGAGCTTTTTGTGATTTGTTTTTTAAGAGTCTGGGAGTAAAGGTCTTCACTACTGGGAAAACATTTGCATTACTCCTTGGCAGCTTCCAAGTAAGAACTTTTTTGCCAATAAGCACACGTCCAAGCCCATGAGGGGAAACAATTTCACACCTACAAGTAGGACTTCTACCTGAACAAAATCTACTTGTCAACCCTTCACCTCAGAACATCTTCAAACAGCAAATAAAATGACAACAGACAGAACAAAATTAAAGAATTAGACAGATTAATTGGAGGGGGAAAAAATTCACCTACAACTCTAAATTCACCTTGCAGACCCATGGGTGAGGAAAGGCGGCAGAAACTCAACTGGAATGCTTGCTGCCATGGGTCTGTGCCTCCCTGGCTTCCGCCTCATCTCACCACCCCTCCTAGGGCCCAAGCGCCAGGCCCAGGGCAGGACAGCAGGCCCCAGGCCTCTTCCTGGCACCGGGACTACTGCTGTTTGGGGACAATGAGGTTTCTCAGCATGTCAAAGGAGTTGCCGTCTGGATGCACACTCGACACCTTGCCGTCCTCCTGTTGAACCTGAAGGAACCCAGAATCGTCGAGGCCGATTATCCACATCTTTGGCCCCTCGGTGCTTTCCAAGCGGACTTGCTGAGCACTACAAGTGAAGAACAGCACAGGTCACTGAGAATGTAACAATGCGACTCGGGACAATGCATTAAGTAATGATCCATTATGCAAGGGACTGAGGGTGGTAAAGGAGATGGCTGTGGCCAGAGGGCACTCGATGCGCTTTCACTGGTCCCTCACAAATCTTTTTTTTTTTAAATCGGAATAGGGTTGATAGACATTATTATATTGGTTTCAGAAGTATGACATAGATTTGATGATCATCTACATTACTAAATGCTCACCGTGGTAAGTGCAGTTCCCCCTGCTACCACATCAGGGCATCTGAATTGTCCTGGTGACTACCAGAATCACCAGCACGACGGGGATCCCCGTGGGAGTTGGGGATTCCTTCTCTCACAAGAACGCCCTTCCAATTCTGGTCATCTGGGATAGTGATTTGCCCCGCTTTCTCACCCCTAAGCACTTTTAAGAAACACAGTGCAACTCTCTAGGTTTTTTGGCTGAGACTGGGGAAAAAAGGAACTGGGTTGAAAAGGAAAGTTTTATTTTATAAAATGAAGCTGAATCGTACCAAATACATTAAACTCACTCTAATACTTCTTCTCTTGAATATTTTCCAAATGTACCTGTTGAGTTAAATCCTTGTGGACAGTTTTTAAAGCACAGAATCCGCCCATTTTTATTTTGAAGAATTTCAAACTTCCATAAACACTGGGAAAAACAGTATAGCGCACCTCAGGTTCCCCCTTCACTTCTATTCACACCAAATGATAACACTTTTCATATTTGCTTCTTCTCTTCACACACATGCTTTCTTTGCTAACATTTAAAAATAAGTCGCAGGCATCATGACACTTTATATGTAAATACTTGCACATGTATCTTCTAAGGATAAAAACAATCTTCCTACCAGGCCAGAATATCATTATCACCATCAGGAAATCGAATCTTGATGCAGTAACGTTAATACATAGTCTGTGCTCAAATTTCCTATTGTCCCATTAGTATCTTTTGTGGCAATTTCCTGCCCTCCAGAACCCAATTATGAATCACATGTTGTGTGCCTCTTTAGTTTTCTTTAATCTTAAACATATATCCCACCTTCTTTTTATTTTTTGTTTTTTAAGACACTGATACTTTTGAAACATAGAGGCCTGTTGATATACACCAGTACTTCTCAGACTTTAGGGACATGAGAGTCCCCTGGAGCATTACATTTCCTGCTTGGACCACAAGCCAACACTGGGCCCCAGGATCAGAGGTTCTGATTTCGGAGATCAAGGTAGGACTTGAGAATTTGCATTTCTAACAAGATCCCAGGCAAGGATGCTGCCGGGAGCTCACGCTGAAAACCGTCGCTATCTAGAATGTTCTGCAATTTACAGACACATCTTGTTTTATTGATTTGCTTTACTATGCTTCACAGATAATGCATTTTTTACAAATTGAATGTGGGCAGCCACCCTGTATTGAGCGAGCCTACTGACATCTTTCCAGTAGTGTTTGCTCACTTTGTGATTCTCACAATATTTTAAACTCTTTCATTACTATTACACTTCTGATGATGATTTTGATCAGTGATCTTTGAGGATGCTATTGCAAATGCTTTGGGATACCATGAATTGCACCTTCATAAGGCAGCAAACATAACTGATAAATGTTGTATATATTCTGGTTGCTCCACCGACTGGCTGTTCCCCTATCTCTCTCCTCCTCAGGCCTCCCTGTTCCCTGAGACAGAACAATACTGAAATTAGGCCAACTAATAACTCTACAATGGCCTCTAAGTGCTCAAATGAAAGGAAGAGTTGCACATCTCTCACTTTAAATGAAAAGCTAGAAATGATTAGGCTGAGTGAGGCAGGCACGTTGAAAGCTGAGATAGGCCAAAAGCTGGGCCTCTTGTGCCAGTCAGCCCAGTTGTGAAAGCAAAGGATAAGTTCTTGGAGGAAATTAAAAGTGCTACTCCAGTGAATAAATGAGGGTTAAGAAAGCAAAACAGCCTTATTGCTCATATGGAGAAAGTTTTAGTGGTCTGGATAGGAAATCAAACCAAGTACAACTTCCGTTAAGGGAAAGTCTAGTCTGGAGGAAGGTCCTGATTCTCTTCAATTAAAGTTTGAAGCTAGCAGAGGTTGGCTCATGAGATCTGAGGAATGAAGCCATCTCCATGATATCAAAGTGCAGGTGAAGCCACAGGTGCTGATGGAGAAGCAGCAGCAAGTCATCCAGGAGATCCAGCTCAGGTCATTCATGCAGGTGGCTGCACTAAACAAGATTTTCAGTGTGGACAAACCAGCCTTCTACTGGAAGAAGATGCCATCTGGGACTTTCATAGCTAGAGAGGAGAAGTCAGTGCCTGGCTTCAAAACTTCAAAGGACAGGCTGACTCTCTTGTCAGGGGTGACTTTCAGTTGAAGCCAGGGTTCACTTACCTTTCTGAAAATCCTAGGGCCCTTGAAAATAATACTGTATTTACTCTGCCTACACTCTAGAAACAGAGCAACAAAGCCTGGATGATAGCACATCTGTTTATAACATGGTTTACTGAATATTTTAAGCCCACTATTAAGACCTACTACTCAGAGAAAGTGATTTCATTCCAAATACAACTGCTCATTGACAAAACTCCTGGTCACCCAAGAGCTCTGGTGGAGATGTGCAAGGAGATTAATGTTGTTTCCCTGCCTGCTAACACAACATCTATTCTGCAGCTCATGGACCAAAGAGTTGTTTCTAGTTTCAAGTCTTATTCTTTAAGATACACATTTTGTAAGGTTATAGCTACCGCAGAGGAAGCTACCATAGGTAGTGATCCCTCTAATGGATCTGGGCAAAGAAAACCCATACTAAAAACCTTCTGGAAAGGATTCATCATTCCAGATGCCATTAAAAACACTCATGTTCATGGGAAGAGGTCAAAATATCAACATCAACAGGAGTTTGGAAGAAGCTGATTCCAGCCCTCATGGATGACTTTGAGGGGTTCAAGACAACAGTGGAAGAAGTAAATGAGATGTGGTGGAAACAGCAAGAGAACCAGGGTCAGAAGTGGAGCCTGAGGATGTGACTGAAATGCTGTACCTCATGATCAAACTTTAATGGATGAGGAGCTGCTTCTTATGGATGAGCAAAGAAATGGTTTCTTGAGATGGAATCTAGTCCTAGTGAAGATTGTTCAAATAACAACAAAAGTCTTAGAATATTACATACACTTAGTTGATAAAGCAAAGGCAAGGTTTGAGAGGACTGACTTCAATTTCAAAAGTTCTACTGTGGATAAAATGCTACCACACAGCACTGCATGCTACAGAGAAATGAAAGTTGACAATAAGAGTCAATCGATGTGACAAACTTCACTGTTGCTTTAAGAAACTGTCACAGTGACCCCAACCTTCAGCAACTACCACCCTGATCAGTCTGCAGGCACTGACACTGAGGCAAGAGCCTCCACCTGCAAAAAGATTATGATTCGCTGAAAGCCCAGATGGTGGTTAGTATTTTTTGGCAATAAAGTATTTTTTAATTAAGGTATGTATATTTTTAGACATAATGCCATTACATACTTAAAAGACTACAATATAGTGTAAACATAAGTTTTATATGCACTGGGAAACCGAAAAATTCATTTGACTCACTCTATTACCATATTTTCTTTATTGCAGCAGTCTGGACCCAAGCCTGCATTGTCTCCAAAATATGCCTGTAAATTTGTCTTTTTCCTCATATTAGATTCATCTGCAACCTGCTGGGCAGGACAAGTCTCTGGTGCTGCCATGTGCTTCCCCTGCATCCCTCCAGGAGGCATGGGATGCCAGCTGGCCCCATTACTGCCAAGGCTAACTTGCTCAAAGTGGTGTCCAGCAGGATTCTCCATCAGAAAACTGAAAAAGTTATCTAGACGGGTGCTTAGTTTCTCATTTTAAAATACTGAGCTACTGACTTAATAGAGAAATTTTAAAAGAATGAAGATGAGCCAGCACTGACCTGTGTATCCAATACTTATAATAAAGGGGAAGAATGCCATTGGGTCCTTTGTCCTGAAATGTGTCAATCAGTTTCTCCATCACTGTCACAGTTCTAGCGATGAGATAATCAGCTCGTAAGGGCTTTAGTTCTGCCCTCTGCTGTTTATTGTATTCTGTGACCAGATCATTGATGCATATGGTAGGGTTACTGTTAGCCACGTTTAATCCACAGCCTGGACAAAAACAAACAATTGAAGAACATGAGCAGCTCAACCTACTGATGGCATCACACGTTCCCCTCAACCATGTGGGAAGAGTTAAGGCTTTCACTTCAACATCCTGCTTCCTTTTCCTCATTTCAAATTTACTGTCTCTGGCCACTTAAAGAAGGACTTAGCTCTTCGAGATCCTCTACTTTTTCATTCTTCCTTCATTATCCTTGTTCAAGCTAGGCCCATCTCGACCTTACTGCAAATAAGTTAGAAAAAAGCAAGCCACATTTGATTCAGTTAACAGAAGCAATAAACAGGACCAAAGTGCTTAGAGTTGCTTCTGAGACAATGGTAACTCCTGCAGTTTAGCCAAGGATTGTGGCTCTGCACTGAGCCCACCCAAAATAAGACAAAATCGCATTTCTTTTCCTACTTGAAAAATAGAACACATGCTTGAAAACAAAAAATTGTATTCAGGTCTTAAGGAGCAAACTCTGGATTCAGAGACTTCAAAATTTGGCCCTGGCATACCCTAAAACACATCCTTTAATAGTTTATCCTTGGAAGTCTTTGTGCCAGGGTTACACTGTTGGCAAGGAGCCGACCTATGTTCAGTGGCTCTTTTGTAGGTTCTTAAACCAAGGCTTCAGGAGAGTGAGTTAACAGCAGTGGGGTCTGAATAGGCTTATCTCTGCTGCTACTTGACACCACCATCCTCACCGGCAGAGGTTAGCATCTGCAGAAACACTGGCGTTGGTTTTCAGTGGGCCCTGAATCAACCTCACAGAGGTCTCCCATAATAAAGAAATCCTGCAAGAACTAGGCAGTAAGATTATTGTATTTTCAATGCCTCTGAGGAAAAAATAGCCCAGATACTCACCTCAGATAGAAGTGTGACATTTATGATAACAGTATTCTTTGGAAAATGTCCTGAGCCATTTTCCCTCTGAAGGGAAGGATGGATTGGCTTCAGATTTTTTAAATATATATATATATATATATATAGTAGCTATTAAAATACAAAGCAATGTAAGTTACACCTGCAGAAGAACAAGGAACTACAGCAACAGGGGTAGGATCAACAGCTGCTCCTTTGTTCATTCATTCAATAAATACAACAGTTGAAGCACCTCTGGGGTGTGATGCATTCTAAAAGCAAATACAGTGCTGAAAAATCCTCCCTTATTCAGAAAACTGAAAGTCCTGGGGAAAATAGTACCATGGACTATTATCAACTTAAGCTGTGCCTTTCCAAGGTGCAGAGAGCACCTGTGTTGGGGATGCTGGAACGTCCCCCAAGGATACCCACTGTCCCCCTCCCACCACCTCCCATGGCCTTAAGAATTTAAGAAAAGCTATGGATTCTCCCCATAGGAAAACGTTACATTTCCCCCACACGCACAGAATTCTTAGCCACCTGAAGCCATCCCCAGGTCTCCTTGATACCTGTGAGCCCGACTTAGGAATCCCACAATGAGACTAATTACTCATTTAAAGATGGGAAATGGAGCCTGGAAGCCCGGAGCGAGTCTGCCCAGAGGGGCGCTGCCCACAGGGAGCAGGGCCGGAAGGAGAGGCCTTGTGCTTGGCGGTGCTTCCCACACAGCCGCATGTTCTCTGTCCCTCACTGACTTCTGAACTCCAGTCAAGTTCCCCTGGGCATTAGGGAGAAGCTGCTGCTTGGATGGCCAGGAGCCTAGAACTTCTGAAAATGCTTCAGAATCCAGCTCCTTGCCTGGTGTGAGTGTGCTGAGGTGAGACAGAGATTCTTTACCCAACCTTGACCGGCTTGGAGCTTCTTCTGAAGGTCAAAAAGGCCACTTTTCATGGCTGGGAAGGTCAAATTAAGGATGTGAGACCACTGGAGAACCCATCCCTGAAACTGACTTCCTTTTCTCATTGCAAAATGGTACATTAAATGTTTATTGTCACCATTTCCAATTCAATAAGAAGCAGGAGTGTGGAGAGATGTAAGAAAACACTTTTCTGCTGTGATGGCAATCTGGGGTTTCCACGGCCACAGAAACGCTAAACCCCTTGAAGCGCTTTCAGCCTGTCTGGCCTATTTTGCATACATATGGCATATTGTGAACTATAACTCAAGACTCAAAGAAAAATAATCCCATATGGTAATCCATGAGACCCTATGTAGCCAACACAGAAACCATTTTTGTTTTTATTAATCTAAAAATGCTGGGGAAAAGTTTTTAAAAACTTACCAATGAGGATATAAAATGTTTCTCCTATAAGCGTGGAGTTAACCAGAACTCCACCGAGCTTCATGAGGTTACTGTAATAAATATCGTTGGGCCACTTCACTCGTAGGTCAATATCCTAAAGGAAGATGTGCATGTTAATCAAATCACAGGGCACAAAGGGACGAGGAGAGGCTGTCCGGCTAGAAGGAATCTGAGCAGGATACTCTCAAAACGAGTGGGACACGCGCTGTCATCTCTTCTTCAGGCCGCTGATCACCTCTCTAGGACAATCCAGCTTGGCAGAGAAGTGACGCACACCATTGGCACAAACCCCAGCCTCCTCCCCACCCCCACCCCTGCCCATCACTCTCCAGCGCCCTTTTGGAAGATGCCTGTCCAGTGACTGCAGTTCCTTATCTTGAACCCACAACCACCCCAAGTGCGCTTTCAGCATGCCAGGTGTGGGGGGTCGGGGGACAAGACTACTCTTGGGGCTCCTGTCCCTTAAGGAGCTTGTGCTCACAAGAGAAAGATGGCTCGAATTAACCAACGTCATAAGAGGTGGGTATAAATGTCTTGAGTAGAATGTTGTGGAGACAGCAGGTCCATGTTTGGCTGAGTTATTAGAGAGGGCCTCAGAGAGACGCCAACAGTCAGCAGGAAACAGAAATGGGCTTGCCCTGCGGCCCGCCACCTCTTCATCCTGAAGAGTGTGGCCTGGGAAACCCTGTCTGTGCTCTGGGGGAATGGTCCAAGGGTGGACACTGCCTTGGGCTGGCCACGGAGACCTGCACCCGCCGTAACTCTGAAGTTGGGACACACAGACTGGGTGTGACCCAGAACATGCCAGAACTGCCAGGTCCCCTGGGCCTGAGGCTGGCAGCCAGGTGGTGCCATGAGTGGGAGCAGGAAGCCCATCTGGACCCACGAGGCTGGAAGAGAGACTCTCAGCACAATAAAGCCGGGAGACCAGAGAGCAGCTCATGCCCTGTGGGCCCTTCAGGACTGGCCCTTCTTCACTGGGGGCTGTCCGTGACACCGAGCCCCATCTCAGTGCTAGTCTGCATGTTACGCACACCAAAACCCAGTCTGGGGGCTAGTAGCCTCCCTATTTAATGAGGAAGAAACTGAAGCTTATCACCATGGCCAGTTAGGATAAGTTTCTGTTCTTTAGAAGCTCCTCTGCCCCAGCAGAGCACGCCAGGCTGAGAGGAAACACGCAAGAGCACAAAGGAACAGGGTGTACGTAAAACACAGCTTAACCTAACTGGGAGGGAGCTTCACACTTTTTTCTGTCTAGAAGGAGGTTCTCTATGGGATGGGGAGGGGGGGCATTCTACCCCCCAGGGGACATTGGGCAATACTGGGAGACATTTCTGGTTGTCACAGCTTGGGGGAGTGGGGTCCCCACTACATCTAGTGGGGAGAGGCCAGAGAAGCTGCCCCATGTCCTTTAATGCACAGGACAGCCCCCCAACCAAGATGGGGGCCCACATGTCAGCAGTGCTGGGGGTGAGAACCTTTGATCTAGAAAACCTGTGACTTGGGGACTCATCCTGGTCACTCCCCCAGCTCCCTGCCTCCCCTCATCCCTGGTGCCCAGCACAGTCCCCACCAAGCTCGGACACAGCACACGGGCGGCTGCTCACTCCTGTTTCACTCCTGGATTTCAGATCTAGTTAGTGTGCAGCTTTGAAATTGTGGGTTCTCATGCAGTTGACCAAGGCCATCAATTCCAAAATGAAGAGAAAGTCTATGTGCTTATTTTTCACTGACTCAGTCATTTATTCAAATGGCTGCCTCGGGCCTCCTACCTGTAAAGCACCATGTCAGGCTCTTTGAAGCCCCAAATAAAACTAGTCCTGCATTCAAATCACTGGTTGCCTCACAGGACGTACAACAAGAGCACAGATGGCCCTGCTCCCCTGCTCCGGAGCAGTTCGGGGGAGGCCATGAGCGAGGCTGGGTGGTGCTGGAGGAGGCAGGGCCTGTAGTTGGAGGGTTCTGGGAATGCACCTGAGCTGGGCCTCGCGGGGGGAACAGAACTCCAAGGGGCAGAGAGGGGCATGAAGCAATAAGGGGCAGGTGGGGGGCAGGCCACGGGAGCCCAGCAGGGCCTCAGGGAAGGAAGAAGCAGCGGGAGGAGGAGCAGGCAGCTGGTTCGGAGGGAGCGGCGGGCATCACAGTGATGCTGCCTCTGGTCCAGGGAGACACGTGTGATTTGTGTGCTGACAGTGGCTCTGGCCAGGGACCAGCTGGGGCCCGAGTGAAGGATGCAAGAGAGGCAAATTCTATGCAACTGGGGCCTATTTCAACCATCCTGTACCTGTACTGTGTAAGCTGACTGGACTCTGTCAAAAATAAACATTAGGAGAATAGACCTTAAAAGGTCTTACCACAAGGTAAAAAAAAACCTTTTTTGCTAAATATATGAGGTGATGGATGTTAACTGAGCTTATTGTAGTAATGATTTGCAATATACATTATGTCGTTATGCTGTACTCCTGAAACTTACACAGTGCTGTATGCCAGTTATATCTCAATAAAACTGAAAATAAAACAAGAATAAATCCAATCCCAAAACAAAACATATCATACAGGTGCGGCTGAGCCAGATGACTCAGAAACAGGATGGGAACTTCGGTGGGAGCTTCTTAAGGAGAACAGAGGACGCACCCCACCCTGTCCCTGTGCACTGTCATGGGCAAGCTTCCCACCTCCCATCCTGCTGCCCCCTGTGCCTGGCACCATCTTCACACACAGTGGGCACTCAAAGAATACTCGCTAAGTTAACAAGGTCACAGAACAAGGCCATCAGAGAGCTAAACAGACTTACTTAAATTTCAATTTTTAATTTATTTTCCTAAGACTAACAAATCTGTTGCTAGGGTAAAAAATATTTCCCCCCACAACAGAACTTTATCTTTTCCATTGCTTTCTATGAGGTCAAACCTCCAGCCCAGAGGCTGCAGGCTGGCTCGTGAAGGTTTGTGAAGACCTGATGTGCCTAAGCCTCAGACACAGCAAGGATGCTGACTGCCCAGGAAGAAATGTCCTGTCTCAGCGTGCATGCTGGTGGCTGCATGGAATACCAAAAACATACCCCAGGCCTATACCTGGTGACTGAGGACATGGCCACTTCGGAGGGAGCACATGGGTCTGTGGACAGGATTCTCCGTTTAAACACTGATGACAGGCCCCCTTTGAGAGTCATGATCTTGGCATTTTGCTTCAAAAATTAATAAAATTGTTCTAAACCTCACATAAGAGCTATAGGTGGGAGGGAGGCTGGGGAGAGACCTCTTTTTATATCCATAGGAAATTCATCCAGGAAAACTGAGAAGGGGCTTACAGTAGTAAGTGAAGCCCGGGTGTGGGCAGAAAGGCTTCGTGACTGTTAGCTCTTTTCCATGTCTTTTTAATAACTGGCACCAGAACATCCAACAGTCATGGTGGAGCAGGCACATCTGGCCCTACAGCTGGGGGCAGGCGGCCCCAAAGGACCCTGCGTGTTGGGCTTGGGTAGCCACAAAGGAGAGCTCACCTGAAGGCAGGTTGTGGTAAAGGCAGGTAGGAAGTGGGAGGGTTGTTTGGGTCTATGAAGTAAGCCTCTTCATCAGAAAACACACAGGGCCCCACCCAGTCTCATGTGCTTCAGTTAAAAAAAAACAACAAAACCTGACATCAGGATAGAAGGGGAATTCTGGGAACTCTATGCATTTTGGAGCCTGAAGCAGCCATACAAGGTGACAGTGCTCTAAACTGGAGCACCCTGCTGCCAGTGTAGCCAAGAGCCGGCTGAGGCTTAGATGTGTGCTTCCGCAAACCTGCATGGCAATGTGCATGCACAGTGGGGACATGAGTGTGATGAAACTGTACGTACCTGATACTCAGGAAGGGACCTCACTGCCTCCACGACAGCCAGGGACATGAGATGCTGGACAAATGGAATCCTCTGCCCCAGCCGGGATCTCAGTGGTATGGAGACAAGCAGGGTAGAAAGAGCACATCCCATGGGGCTCAGCCAGTCATTCCTTCCCCGCCCTGGAACACAGGCCCCATCAGGAAACAGGCCACTTGCCACATGCACAGACTCAGATGCACATAGTACCAGAAAATATGCCGAGGACTCCGAGCCACACACCCAAGAAGTGCTCTGCTTGGATACACCTGGACTGACTGGATGCTTGAATATCTGGGGTTAACTCAATAACAGAGAAGCTTTTTAAAATCTGAAGCTCTGTTGATGAACAAGTTTTCAATAAGTAGCAGAATGTTCCGCCTCTGTGAGCATATCATTGATGCTTTGATGATTCAGTCTTACAGTGTCTGAACAGGGTTCTCAGTTTAATTCTTACCACATGGTAAATGTGGGCAAAAACAGAGAAATAGGGAACCGGACTGAGTCTATGCTGGTCCAGAAGGGGCCCTGGAAGTCACTTTCAGAAGTGATTCTCATTGTGTTCAGGTCCCACAGCCCTGAGAATATATTAAATGCTACAGAACTAACCGTACGCTTTAAATTGGGGGTTATGGTATGTGAGCTATATCTCACTGTTATTAAGAAAAGAAGGAAGCTGAATTTTAAAATTAATCTCTGCCATTAATTCTCTGGGTTATTTTTCTTAAAATAGAAGTCAAGAAAATAAAATAATAAAAAGGAGAGGTATAATCAAAGTTCTTCTACATCTTTTTTTAAAACCACCATATTGAGTCTTACAGTTTTGGATAAAATGAATTTTTCTTTCCTCTTTAAGTTAAGTTCAAAAGACATGTTCAAGAGAGAGTGGAAAACAGTGGATTTCTTATTTCATTGCATCTTCTGAGAAAAGCAGGAGATTCTGAGAGCTAAGGGCACGTTTGGTTTGGCCTGGTGCCGGCCGGGGGTAGGGAGAGGCCAAGTGCCTACTGCATGGCCAGTGAGTGCAGAATCTGCTCCCAGCCAGATCCCATGTGGATTCTTGGAGGATGCAGGGAGGATGCCCCTGAGGGCCAGCAGATGGAGGAGCCCTGAGCATTCCTCCACTTCTGTGTGGTCACTGTGAACTGGCATTGATCACTCATCAGGAGCCTGCTCATGCCAATTCCAGTGCCTGCCAGGGTGGGGGCACACAGGCAAACCCTCCTTGTGACAGTCTAGACACAGAAGGCTCCTCACAGAGAACCTTGAAGAAAATAAAGGTCTCTATAATACAGTAATGATCCACACACTGCAATGCCTAGAACGTATCAGAAAGAAGAATTTACAACATGGTGGTAACTGAATGTTAAAGCCATCACAAGCCAAAGTCAAATGATAAATAAACATCTCAATTTGAGAAAAAGCTTTGATTCTACAAAGGCAATCTTCTGATGAATTCCCCCCTCTTCCTCATCTTTGTGGGGGTGAAACAGAAGGCTTCTAATGTGTGTCGCCTGGATGATCAGCGTACACAATCAATCGGCTCTCTGGCTGTGAGCGTCACAGATTTCAGAAAACAGGAACAGCAGAAACGATAACAAAAGATGACTGACCTTTGCCCTGCGTCTGGCGGACTGCGATGGCTATTAAACCCATTTCCTGCGGCATCTCAAACATCAACCTGCAAACGGTGGGAAAGACTGGTCAGCCAGAACAGGGACGCAACCTGAGAACCTCGAGCTTAGGCAAGTCTTTGCACTCATTCCTGGATCTGTAAGAAAGGGCCATCTTCCAGGGCTCAAGGGACATTGCCCCCATGCCCAGCCTCAGCAGCGAGAATGACAGAGAAAAACCATTTAATTATCAAAAAAGGTTGGGTTGGGGAGGGGATGTGTACCTGCCTGAGCTATTATTCAGTTTATTTAAGATGTTAGATTATATTTCTTTGGAATAGCCTATCAAGTTCCTTCTCCCCACTCTGACGTGGTGTCCCTTCTTCAAGTGACAACTAGCAGGTTTTGACATTTGTTTCTACTTATGGTGCGGTTCTGTCCGAACACTAGAACATAATCATAACAGAAGTTTCCTATTATTCAGAAAACCAATATGGTGGCAATAAAGCCGTTTAAAAGATACACTCTCCCCTGAGAACTAATTATGTTTTAACTATAGTAAATAAATCTACACCTTCTGAGAACTCCGGAGAACCTTGAGTCATTTTAGGCTTGAGTTCTGCTTTTAAAATGGTTTCATTTAAAAGAATACAAACTTCCCTTCGGGGGACAGGGACAAAGCGCACTGTATCTCCACTGAATGAGTCAGCGTCAACTTTTTTCAGCAAAGGAAAGGGGAAAAATCCCTCACTCTGAGAATTTCCTCCCGGTTATGTTGTACATGTTTAACTCCATGTGCGGGAGGTTTCCTCTGCATTCCTGGGAGTTGCTGACCAGGTACTGGGTATAGTTCATGGTAGGATTTATTGAAACAAAGCAAAACCCAGGTTTGTCTGCTGTCAGTGCAGCTGCTAGGGGTGAGGGGCTTGAAATGCTTTTTTAGGGGAGGGAAGGGGTGAGGGCACGGATGACAGATGATGGAGAGATGGCATTTTGCATAAACAAAGTTTCCAACCACAGTGACTGGGGTTCAACAGCACGTCTGCCATGGAGAAAGGTGATGCTCTGGCTACTCTTCTATCTCTTAAAAAAGCTTCTCCTCAGGGCTCAGGGAGGATCTTTACAAATGGCAAGGGAAGAAAACTACTTAAAAGTAGAGAGGAAACCCAGTCGCTCTGCACCTCTGGCTGGCAGAGCTCTGTCTGGTGTGTGCAGGGCCTGGCAGAGGAGCCCAGAAGACCCCTCTGCTTGAGGAGAAGAGCCTGGCCCTGCCAGGCAGGGGGCTGGGCTGCTCTGACAGGCATGGACCTTCCCAGGGGGCAGGCCGCCCAACTGCCCGCGCGCCAAGCCCACTTCCATCTCACATGAAATACAGCTCCAGAGGTATTTCTCTTGGACACGATGAATAACCCATTGAGATCGGCTGTGCCTATATGCCATTGGGCTCCAAGAATAAAGCATCCTTTTCTTGTGTTGAACGGGCAGAAAAGGCTAAGAAGGAACCTTTGTCCATGCGGGGAGGTGACACTGTCTTCTAGGAACCACTTGCTTTCCTAAGAGTCTTGCCAAGCCTTCACCTGGGCTCCTAAGTACAGGCTTGGCGTGGAGAGTTGGGGGCCGGCTAACAGACTTTTCTATGGCAGTGGGGAGTGATTTAGCATGTCATGAGCAGACTATGGAGGCTCTCTCCCTAGCAGGAGATCTAGGATGTTCTTTAAATAAACAAGTAGACAGTAGACAGTCATGTCTATAGCCCTTGATGGTGGAATTAGGCTGGGGTGGCGGGGGAGAGGGAGGGTTCAGAAACCAAATCCAGACTTCTAGAACAAAGAGAAATGATTAAGGGAACATATGCACTCAACTGCCAGAGGTTTGGCAGCAGTTAACAGGGCATATTGATGAGAAGATGGAGTGTGCACTGCTGAAGGCCAAGAGGAAATTCTGCAAGGAGGGAGACAACGGGGGAAGGAGGTAATGCTTAGTAGGAGACAACTAGAGGCCGCCAGATTTATTTGTGCTCTCTGAGATAACTCTGGGGGCCAAACCGCATGGCTCACAGTCAACAAAGAAGCATTTATGAACGTTGCAAAATTTTGCATTTCTGAAAATGAAGTGGCTCAAGTTTGCTTTAGTGGAAAGGAGACACCTTAAATGCATTTCCATCCCGAGTTGATGATGTTCTCACAAAAGGAAACAGAAAAAGAAAGAAGAGGGGGGCTTACATAATGATTACCTCCCTGCCTCTGTATATTTTCTTTCCTCACTTGTGGACGCTGTGGGAAAAAAAGGTTTCTGTGAGTGGTAGTAAGAAAAACACTCCATTGTTACAGTCTTAAGTCTGAAACATCTGGAGCCCCAAAGGGTCACTCTGCAAAAGGGACAGCATCCCGACCACTTTAGTTCCTAAGGACACCACAGTACTTTCTGGGTGCTCTGCTAAGGGGAATGCCCCGCATTTCACACGTTCACTGGAATAAAACTTCAATAATTAGGATTAATACAGAAGACCAGCCAGTATGAATCTGTGAAAAATCTGAATTAACAAAAACTTAAATTCAGACCTAGTCAATCCACTTTGGGGATTCAAACCTAAGGAAATAGTCCACATTCACCACAGTGCTATAAAAATAAAAATTTGGAAATAACCTAAGCAATTCAGCACGGGAACGGCCAAGCAAATAATGGCATAGGAAGTCAATGGAGTAATTTGTAATCATTAAAAATGGTAGTTATAAGGACTATGTAGTGAATGGAAGAAATGCTTGCAGTAGACTGTTAAATAAAAAGGCAGGATAGGAAAACTACATATACTTTCATTCCAACTATGTAAATTCATAGGAAAGAGAGGGAGTGGAGTTTTATTCTTTATTTTTAAACTCTTCTTTAAGATGATCAGTTACCTTTAACTTAAAAGTCATTCTGAAAAGTTTGGAGGGAGGGAGAGGGAAGTATGGCTTTTAGGTTTAGATATATTTGTAATTATTCATAAGGCTTTTTTCAGAGTAAGACTAAAAGATCTGCTTTCAAAATAAGCAAGAAAGTAACAGGTAGCTGCAGTACCCATTTTATTATAACCAAAGAGCAAGAGCTTTTTTGATACTAATTAGTGGAGAAAATTCTTAAAACCGGTCTGTTCATATGCAATGAGAACCTTAAAATTTTTATGCCTTCTGACCCGGTAATGTATGTCTGGGGATGAATGCAGGGAAGTATTTAGACAGGGGAACAAAATCGTTCATGGGCACAACTGTTCATCACAGCATTACAGTGTGACAAATCAGAAAAAACACAAGCAGTCCATGACAGGAATGAAAAACATCATAGCATCCTCACATGAAAGAGTATCACAGAGCCGTCAGTGACAGCGCAAAAGGCCACCAGACACCACTGGGTGGCTGGACCAGGATGTAAAACCCTATATGCAACATGATTCCAAAGATGTTTTAAAATACACCTTTTAAAACTGTTAAGAAATGTACCAAGATATTAGCTCTGGATATTTTTTTTTGGTATCATTAATCTACAATTACATGAAGAACATTATGTTTACTAGGCTGCCCCCTTCACCAAGTCCCCCCCACATACCCCTTCACAGTCACTGTCCATCAGCGTAGTAAGATGCTGTAAAATCACTACTTGTCTTCTCTGTGTTGCACAGCCCTCCCCATACCCCGCCCCCCACATTATACATGCTAATTGTAATGCCCCCTTTCTTTTCCCCACCCTTATCCCTCCCTTCCCACCCATCCTCCCCAGTCCCTTTCCCTTTGGTAACTGTTAGTCCATTCGTGGGTTCTGTGTTTCTGCTGCTGTTTTGTTCCTTCAGTTTTTCTTTGCTCTTATACTCCACATATGAGTGAAATCATTTGGTACTTGCCTTTCTCCACCTGGTTTATTTCACTGTAGCTCTGGATATTTTGAGGAGTGTAATTATTATATGAAAAATATAGGAAATCAGAAAGCACAAAGTAAATCAGCCGTATAAATCCCTCTTCTCATTGGAAGTGTATATATTCTAGAATTTTTCACTTTTTTAAAAAAACCCAAATAGATATATTTTACAAATTAAGTTTCTGCGAATTGCAAAAATTTTTTATTTTGAAGCTATTAAAATGATGTTGTGGATGTACAGTTATGGACATTCCTAGTATATTGATAGTTAAAAAGAAAGAATTAAAACATATCACTGATCCCATTTATGTAAAGCTCTGTATCCTATGTGCATTTATAGAAGAAAAAGGACACATATTAACAGTGGTTATCTCCAGAAGGTGAAGGTAGAATATATGAATATATGAATATATATATATACATATATATATAGAATATACGATGATCTTAATTCCTTCTTTACATTGTTCCATGTAATCTCTGGGTGCTAAGATTCCAAATGGTTTTTATTTTCTTCTTTATACTTTTCTGAATTTTCCAATATTTTCACACATGGAGTGTATTTATTCTATAATCAGGAAAATAGTATTTAAAAAAATGTTTATTTAAACCCAATTTTCTTTTCAGTAAGTTAAGCATGCATCTGCCAGCTCACAAGCTGGTGAGTTATCTCCCTTCCGAGAGATCAGAGTCGCATTGCAAGGCAGCCAAACTCTCTGAGCTTTACCAGGCTTGATGTCCAAATCCTTGCGTGGCTCATGTATGGCCATGCCTGCCCCTCATGCACCTTCCCCGGCAGAGTGTGTGGCCTGTGCAACAGTGGCAGGCTTAGTCTGGTCACCGTCCTTGCATGGACCGCCTCTGGGCTGGGGAGGTGGGGCACCCGAGGCTGCTGACATCTTTGGGGTCTCCATCCCGAGCGCACTGAGAAGCCTCATCAACTTGTGCTCTTGGTGCGAAATGCTGTTTTTCTTTGATGTTTTCTCCCCACTATATTCTCAGTTCTGACTTGTCCATATTTAGCTTTCAGAAAGACATACATTCTCAGACAACCACCCCCTACCCCACCGCCAATGTTTTCTCTATGTAAAAAAGAAACCCAGGGAGGGTGGAGGGATGAGGCCAGAGGAGGAGGACCCAGCAAGCCAGACACTTAAGCTTACTACTTATTTCTGAT